TTTGGGCTTCCTCTCCCGGTCCTTTCGTCTTGCCCTCCCTTGACCCGCCAGACCCTTTCCCTCCGTCCGTCCCTCCCTCAGGCGACCTCGGCCAGACGCTCTTCCCTCCGGAGGCTTCGCGGGGCTGGGTGGGCTGCCTTCGGGGTCCCACCCGCTCCTTCCCAGCCTCCGCAGCGCGCCCTCCCTCCCTCCCCTCTCGGCGCCCGATCTCCCCAGAGGAAGCCCCGCGCCTCGCCGCCCTTTGTCAGCCCGGCTCTTCCCCTGCCCTGCCCTCTGAGACGCCCGCCCGGCACTCGGGCGAGGTGGGCTTCAGGCTTCCTCTCCCCTCCCTCTCTCCTTCCTTCCTTCCTGTACAGGCTCCCCTCACGCCCGCTCTTTCTCCCCTGCTTTCCTTGCCTGTGCGGGTGTCTTTCTATTGCCAGAAAAAAGCAGATACGGATCAAATGGTTTTCAATGCATTCCAATGGGAATGCAGATTTTGACCTGCGAACCGCCTCCCAATACACATTAAGTTCGCAAGTCAAGACCCCACTGTAATGGGGTTAAGCTAGTGGTAGACAGATTTTGGTTGAATACCAGGAAAAGTTTTCTAACTGTCAGAGCAGTAGCACAATGTAATTAATTACTTCAGGAGGTGGTGAATGCTCCAACAGTTTTTCTAAACAGAAAATTAGACAACCATCTGTCAGATACACTTTGATTTGGATTCCTGCATTGAGCAGGGGTTTGAACTCAATGACTTTATAGGTCCCTTTGAACTCCATTATACTATGATTCTAAAAAGATCTAGTTTGGGCACAGAGGTAATAGTTGGAAATAACTCGCATTGGACCATGTCACAAGCTGTCCAATAGGCAAACAGTTTCCCTGTTCGATCAACACCTTAGATGGCTATCTCTTTGATACTTTGCTAAAAAGTATCAGGAGGCAATTTGTCATTACTTGTATATTGTGTTACTCCTATATATGAAACTCAGTGAAGCTAGTTATTCAACATTATTTAAAAGGAAAAAAGGTAGTAAAATAAGTCAGAAAAGCTTGATGTGATACCTTGGATTTTGAACATGACATCAGCTAAGACTGTTGTGTTAAAGAAAAGCCTAAGATTGCTGTTACATAACTGTAAGGGTCTTTTGGACAAATATGATCTGCAGTTCCATGAGCTGTTGATCTGAAAAATGAGAAGACAACAGAATGCATGAATGCCAGTGCTTTCAAAAATCATTAATTTTATTACCTGTCTCATAGCAGCCTTCATGGGCAAACGGATCTTTGATCCATCTATTTCTCTGACCACTTCATGCCTCAAATGCAACACCTATAAACATTTTCAAAAGCTCTTTCTTCCTTTTCCTCTCTGCTATGCTTACACTGAAATAGAGAGGTTACCTACCTGTAACCATGGTTCTTCCAGTGGTCCTCTGTGAATCCATACAATTGGGTTGTTCTGCACCTGTGCAGGACGTCTTGGAAGTTTCTAGAGCTTAAAGACATGTAATTAGTAGGACGTTCCCCCGTGGAGCGCATGCTCCGCCCTCCAAAGGTCCCCTCAGTTCTTGTAAGAGTCCGCCACTGTCAAAGGCCTATATCAAAGACAACGTGACAGACAGAGGGGAGGATGGGCGGGATGTGTGGATTCACAGAGGATCACTAGAAGAACCATGGTTACAGGTAGGTAAGCTTTCTTTCTTTGTGGCCTCTGTGAATGCACACAATTGGGTGACTGACAAGCTCACTTACCAGATGGTGGGACATCACAGTAGGAAGGATGTCAAGATCGCTCTGCCAAAAGCAGCATCATTCTTCGCCCGGATATCGAGACAGTAGTGTCTCACAAAGGTCGATGGGTTAGACCATGTAGCTGCACGGCAGATGTGAGGAAGGTCTATTCCATGTTGGAAGGCAGTAGAAATTGACAGCGCTCTGATGGAATGAGATCTTAAATATTGTTTTGTCCGTGAGCTGATATGCCAATGAGATAGTTTGGACAATCCAGCGAGATATAGTTTGAGGTGAAGCAGGGGCACCCTTATGAGGGCCATGAAAGCATAAGAAGAGCCTTGGAGACTTTCTAAATGATTTACCTTGACTTGAGAACGTTCCTACATACGAACGATTCGAGTTAAGAATGGCTCCGTTAGCAAAAAGTTGCTTCGACTTGAGAACAGAGCTTTGACTTAAAGGACCAAAAAAAAAAAAACGCACACATTCCTGCGCTTTTTTTTAACCTAACTTCACCTTAGGTCAAAATAAAAAATAAAAAAATTAATCCCCTAGTGGTAGATATGGATTAACCAGCTTTGCATTAATTCCTATGGGAACTAATGCTTCGACTTAAGAACAGCGCCTCGACTTAAGAACGAAAAACAGCAGATACGGATTAAATGGTTTTCAATGCATTCTTATGGGAAATGGTGCTTCGACTTAAGAACGTTTCAACTTAAGAATGCAGTCCCAATACGGATTAAGTTCTTAAGTCGAGGTACCACTGTAGTTGTATCGATATAGAGGCAAAGGAGCATCTTACGTCAAGCATACGCTCGAGAGGCCAGCACTATCAAATGGAAGGTCTTTTATCCTTGACCTAGTATAATCTGAGATACCAGCCGATCTCAGCCAAGCATGGTGCCTCAAGGCAACAGAGGTGGACATAGCTTTAGAGGCCATGTCTGCAGTATGGCAGGAAGCAATTCTCTGCTGTTTAGCCAGAGTTGAAGCCTCGGTGTGGATATTTTGGCCTCATACTTGGTGGTGTCTGGGATTGCTTGATAGGTAAAACTCTATCCCACAGCTGGCGGTGATACGTACCCATAGTGGCTTGATAATTAGTGACTCTCATGGTAAGTGAAATGAGAGAATAGACATCTCCTGAGAATGTCTAGCCTTCTTCCTTCTCAGTTAGTGGGAGCTATGGATGATTTATTGCTTGCTCTTGACTGATTAAATTCCACAATAATTGCATTTGGTGTCGGATGTTTGGAGAGAAGGGCTGTGTCCGGGCTATGAGTTTTATAGTGATTTTCAACACGTCTCGAAATTTGAAATGAGGAGGGGGGGTTGTCTCATGATTCTTTTACTAAATCGTGCATAGCCGGGATGAAACTTAAGCTAAGGGGTAGTGTCTTATCCTGACTGAGGTCATCGAAGACCAGGTCTTTCTTTTGAGGTGGTGGTTCTTCAATATCCAGTTGTAAAGACTTTGCCATTCGCATGACGAGCTGAGAATAAGATGTGAAATCCTCTGATGGGGATCGTGGATGATTTTTGTCCACATCAGAAGATGGAGTTGGTAAATTAGTGGGTAATTCTTAGGATATACTGGATGTTGAATCTTGAAAAGGGAGGATTGTGGGGATGGTAATTGGTATGGAGGTTTGGTTGCCAATGCAGATGGTTGTGATGGTGGAGGTACAGTTGATGCTGGGCACTGTTCGATGTCAGGAGGGGTGGGGGTGGAGTCCCTTGTAGGTGGTGGTGACCTGGAGAGATGTATGATGTCAAGAGTGTGTGGAAGAGTGCTTAGCTCGTTTGAGTTGTAGTAGAGAATCCAGTACTGGGAGAGTGCGTTCGAGAGCTGATTTCGTAGGGATCATATTGTGAGTGGATGTTGGATAGACCGCGGATGAAGGATGTTGGTGTTGTGGCGGTGAAGGTGATATGGAAGGTGCCTATCGGGGTGGAGAGGCATATCTCACCCTTCTTGGTTCATCATAATAGACATGGCCAGTCCGATCTTCATAATAATAGGGGTTTTAGTGGTGGTACTGATCCCCATAGTCATCTCGAGTTGGGTATCAAGACAGTTCATGATAATAGCAAATTTCCCTGTGTGGAGGGGTATACTGGACTGGAGAAAAGTGTCGTCTCTTCGCCCAGTGCTTGTGGGGAGAATGGTGAGATGATTCCGAACCAGAGACCTGAATAGGTATTGCCCGCCCTGATGATCTAGGGGTTGAATGGGCCAAGGCCGGGGTGGAATGAACATCAGCCAGAGATAGGCCAGTACTTGGCGAAAGACTTGTGATGGAAGCCACAGCCTGAGCCGGTGTTAAAATTGGGTCATCTCTATATAAAATCGAGCCAGGGGCATCTCTAGATGACTCCTCAAGGATCAGTGATGGAGGCCCCGGTTGAGGTGGATCGTAATAGTCACTCTAGTGTTCCAAATAGTTCCAACCGAAGCAGCGGCAAAAAGGAACTGAGGGGATCTCTGGAGAGTGGAGCATGCGCTCCACGGGGGAACGTCCTACTAATCATATGTCTTTAAGCTCTAGAAACGTCCAAGACATCCTGCACAAGCGCAGAACAACCCAACTGTGTGCATTCACAGAGGCCACAAAGAAGAACATACAATGTTGCTTGCTCTGAACAAGCAGATTTGTACTGATGTACATTGATGACAATGGGACCTCCCTAGTTCAATTTAAATTTTGAAATGAATAGGAGCTGTGCAACACAATAGCAGTGAGCAATTTTTCAATAAATTGCATCACAGTCTTAGGTCATATCCGTTTCCTATTGTTTTCCTTACTGCTATCCAAAATCCACTATCTGAGACAGAAAACTGCCTCCCCTTACATGCCTCTATTCCAATACTCCAAAGGCAGAAGAATTTTATCTGAGGGATCGAAACCAATTCAACAGGACATCTTTGCATCCTATTCCAGTAGGATGAAATAATTTAACTCACCTTTCCTGGAATTTTCAAGATACATTTAACTCTCTCAAGAACAAGTTCAATACTGCCAGGATCTTTCAGTTTCTTTTTTATATGTTCTTCCAATACTTCCCACTGGAAAGCACCTATAGGGAAGAAACAGATCAATAGTCTTTAAAAGAAAATAGATGTGTTTGTTGCAAATATGTGTTGCATAAACATATTTCCCAAAGGTTCTATTTCTGCAAAGATACTGTATTTTTCGAGTTTTGGTTGCATTCTACTCTGTACCTAAAAAGAAGCAAATCTCACACATGTGTCACAAGCAAATTTCTTCTGACTGTGACTCAGAAAGATGGTTAGGTGAGGCATTTAACAAGATACTATACACCTATAGTGTAAATAACACAAGCAGCAAAACTATCTCTGCCACTCGTATTTGTTGAATTCAGTGATTTTTAAGAGTGTGCTATTTAAAGAAAAGAAGAAAGGACAACATTCAGGGAAGAGTAGCCCTCCTATCAGTTGCCCACTTGAGCTATACCTGGCATTCCTGTTGGTGTGCCCCATCCAACAGCAACAGTTTCCATTCTGGGCTTGGAATCAAAGAGAAGTATCCGTTTGGCCTTGAATAATCAGCCTCGCAAATACTCTGAACCCACGCCTTTCACATCCACACATATACAACATAAGCATTTTGGTATTCATAGTACAGTAGATGACTTAATACTGTACTCTGTGGTTCAGTAAATATAGAACCTGTGGGGACTATGGGCTAGTTTATTCAGTGGAATGAATCCAATATGCAAGTGAGTTTAACTGTTCTCAGACCTCTAAGGGAAAAAGGTGGTGAAATTAATACAGGTGCAAAAGCTTCATGCTCACACCCAAGCACCCTGCGTTGCAGGAATCTCTGATCTGCACAATTACAATCTTCCATGCACTACTCTTGTGCTACTTCTCTTGATCTCTGCATTCCAAAGGAGTTGCAGGTGTAGTGTGACTTGCTCTACAGCATTTATTCCAGCATCTTCTGTCAGCTACTCTGTGCCAGTAAGGAAGTCTTTACATTTGATCCATGGCACGTTGTTTCCTGCCCATTTGCTTAAGATTTTTGAACATCTACCATTATTCATATTTTTTAAAGAGAGCAGAGAAAACTGAACACAGGCGAAACCTCTTAAAACATGCAGGAGAATGAACTGAAGCTGAACCCGGACAAGATGGAGTTCTTGAGGGTGGGCACCCCTCCTATTAGTGGTTTGGGAAGCTCCCTTTCTTTTTTGGGGGGGCAACTCTCACCACAAAGAGTCTGGTCCGCAACTTGGGGGGTCCATCTTGACCCAGCATTTACCACGGAGTCCCAGGTACCGTGGTCTGTACTGCCCATCTACATCTTTGGCGGGGCACTCACCACTCTGATCCATACACTCGTAGTCTCCAGATTACACTACTGTAATGTGCTCTACATGGGGCTGCCCTTGAGATTGATGCAGAAACTCGAAATGGTCCAGAACACGGCTGCCAGACTATTAACCAGGGTGAAAAAATATCATCATATTTCCCCCCACTCTGGCGGCCTTACACTGGTTGCCCATTCATTTCTGCATTGACTTCAAGGTATTAATGCTTATATATAAAGCCCTAAACGATTTAGAATCTCAATACCTGGCACAGCGCCTAGTCTCACCTAGCTCTACTCGTGTCACTCAATCTAGCCAGGCTAGGTGGCTGAGGGGCTTGAACCTGAGAGAGGCCCAGAAAGAGAACTAGAAAGTGGGCCTTCTCGGCAGTGGCCCCTCACCTCTGGAACATCTTGCTCCCTGAGATTCGCCTGGCACCCTCACTGGGAGTTTTCAAGAACAATCCAAAGACTTGGCTCTTCAGGCAGGTCTTTCCCCCTTCCATCACTTAGTTCTCTGTGTTTTCCCATCTTGGACTTTGCTCATCTTTCTTTTGTTCTGTTATAACTTTGTCTGTCTTTATTCTTGGTTTTATTGCTCGGACTGTAAGCCACACAGAGTAGATTCATTTCGAATCTAGATGGGCGGGGTAAAAGCTGAATAAATAATAGTAGTAATCAAACAGAAAACTGAAGAATAAAGAAAACAAGCTTGTCTGGTGCCCAATCAATCTGTGCCAGCACAACCTCTGGCAGTACCTACACAGATTCACAGATGTTATGGGTCAGAAACCCGTTAAATCCAATTCATCTCAGTGTGACTCTGGGTAAGATCACAACCTCTATGGACACTGGAAATCCTATTCTCTTCTGTAAAGAGAATTGCTTCACACATCCAAAGTGAGGTTCACATTTGAGTGCTGACAACAATATTTTAGCTTACAGAAAGGAATGAGGAAGACTCACATACACAAAGAGACGTGCGCAAAGCAGAACTGGTAGGTTGCATATGTAACCTCAGCAAGTCCTAACTTATCAAAGGACTGTGACCTAATTCTGATTGAGACGGTAAACCCACATTTGTGCTACACCACAAGACTGCAGGTGGAGGATCGTATGACTAAATGCTCTTCCACAAAGAAAAAGAGAGGTTACTTACCTGTAACCATGGTTCTTCGAGTGGTCCTCTGTAAATCCACACTAATGGGTTAACCTGCACCTGCGCAGGACTCCTCGGAACATTCTAGAGCTTAAAAACGCATAGTTAGTAGGATGTTCCCCTTTGGAGCGCATGTTCTGCTCATCCACAGTCCCTCAGTTCCTAAAAAGGTCTGCCGCTGTCAAAAGACATGAAGATAATACCATGATGGACAGAGGGGAGGATGGGCAGGATGTGTGGATTCACAGAGGACCACTCGAAGAACCAGGGTTACAGGTAAGTAACCTCTCTTTCTTCTTCGTGGCCTCTGTGAATGCACACTAATGGGTGACTAGCAAGTCAACTAACCAGATGGTGGGATGTTACACCAGCAAAGAGGTCAGGACAGCTCTGCAAAAACTCGCTTCATTTTTGGCTCTGACATTCAGTCGGTAATGTGAAACAAATGTTGAGGGCGTAGACCAGGTGGCTGCCCGACAAACATTGGAGACATCATCACTACAAAGCAAAGTAGTAGATGTGGCCATAGGTCCGGTGGAGTGCATCCTGAGAATGCCTGGCGGGGGTTTACCTGTCAGCTCACATACCAGACTGATGGCATGGATTATCCACCAAGAAATTGTCTGTGAGGAGGCTGGAGAGCCATTGCATGGACCATGGTAACAAAGGAAGAGTCGAGGAGATTTATGGAAATCCTTAGTCCTGGAAATGTAAAAGGCTAAGGACCGCCAAACATCGAGAGAGTGTAGCATGCACTCAACTGCAGATGACGGAGAAGGGAAGAGAGATGGTAGGATGAGAGGCAGATTAATGTGAAAATCTGATACAACTTTAGGTAGGAAGGACACCTCAGGATAGAGGGTAAACTTGTCTATGTGAAACTGAATATAAGGAGCATCAGCACATAGAGATGCCAACTCACTTGCTTGTCAGGCAGAGGTGATTGCAACCAAAAATAGTGTCCCAAGGGAGAGAAACTTCAGGTGAGTCGTTGCAAGGTGCTCGAACTGAAGACGAGAGAGAACCTGAAGAACTAGACGTAGCAACCACTGAGCGAGCAGAAGTCGTTGAGGAGGGCAAATGTTTTGAAGACCTCTAAGAAACGTCTTCAGGATCAGGTGCGAGAATAAGTGAGAGGCCTCAGATCCACTAGGTTGATGCGACACAATGGCAGAAATATAAACCTTTAAGGTTGAATGAGTGAGATCTTGGTTGAAAAAGTGGAGAAGAAAAATGAGAAGAGTATCTAACGAAACTGGGATCGTGGCCAGATCCTTGGAAGCAGCGAACATAGAAAAGGTTCTCCATTTGTATGAATATAACAATTTAGTTGAAGGCTTTATGGCTTTGTCCAGCACCGCAACTATGGAGGGAGAATTCTCCATGCTGTGAGGTGGAGTGCATCTATGTTGGGATGGAAGATCCTGCCATTGTCCTGTGTCAGAAGGTGCGGCTGGCAAGGGAGCCAGAGGAACTCTGATGATATGGCTCTGAGAAGGGTAAACCAGGGAGGCCACCATGGGGCTATTAGGATGGCGTCGCCTCGTAGATGACAGAGCCTGATTATTGTCTGTTGGATGTGAGGAATGTGAGCGAAGAGGTAGAGGAGGCCTATTCCCCAATCCACCATGGAAGCATCACCTAAAGAATTTGTGCCTCTCCCTGTCCGGGAGCAGAAAGTATCTCATTTCGAGTTGTTCTCCATTGCAAAAACGTTGAGAACCAGAGCCCCCCACTGTTGGCAAAGTTGGAAAAAGACAGTCTCCTTGAGAACCCATTCATGGATTTGAGTGGTAAGGCAACTCAGATGATCTGCAACATATTGTCTTCGGTAGAAACATGAACAACAACCAGGAACACATGGTGATTGTAGCACCATCCCCAAAGTTGAATTGCAAAGTACAGAAGAGAGGAGTGAGTGCTGTCTTGTTTGTTGATATAATAAAGGGTGGCCATGTTGTCCATCGTGACCTGGACCCTGTGACCTACCACTAGAGATCAAAAAGCACAGAAAGTTTTGATGACTGCAAGCAGCTCAAGATAGTTGATGTGCAACCACTTTTCTGACTTTGACCATAGGGCATGGATTAGTGTGCACCCCAACCTGCAGGGCTGGCGTCTGTTGTGACTTGAATGGTAAGTTGGAGGGGCCAGAACGGTTGGCCAACTATGAGGTGAGAAACAAAAGTCCACCAGATGAGTTGATGCGCCAACTCTGCAGTCACCACCAGACACTTTGAGTGATGGCTGAGAACTGGGTCAAACAGAAACAGGTACCAAACCTGGAGGGAACACACTTTGAGTGTGGCATGTTGCACCATGGACATGGTCGAACCATGAGACCGAGGAGGCGCTGAGCCTGATGAGCTGAGACTGTCCTGAATGGTCGAAAGGGCTATATGGCACATCTTAGTTTGACTATTCTTTCAAGGGGGAGGAAAACTCTGGCTGTAACAGAGACGAAATGAGCCCCAATAAAGTCCATAGTTTGTGAGGGTTCAAGGCGGGATTTCTTGAAGTTGACTCTTAGACCAAGATCTGCCAAAGTCTGAAGAGTGAAAAGGGCGTCCCTTCAGACCCTGTGGTAAGAGTCTGCCACAATCAACCAATTGTCTATATAAGGAAAGACCTTGATGTTGTGTAGACAAAAGGTAGGCTGCCACGGGGGCAAGACATTTTGTGAAGGTTCTTGGAGCGGTAGAGAGCCCGAAGGGGAGGGAGCAGAACTGGTAGGCTGAATCCATGAAGAGGAAGCGAAGGTACTTGTAATGACGAGGGTGAATAGAGATATTGAAGTAAGCATCCTGAAGGTCTATGACGACAAACCAATCTCCTGGGGAAAGAAGTGGAATGACAGCTTTGAGGGTGACCATCTGGAAACACCTGGGCTGAAGATAAGTATTGAGAAGTCTGAGATTTAAGATGGGGCGGAGGCCTCCATCTCACTTGGGAACAGTGAAGTATAGGGAATACAACCTGGAGTGGATGTCGTGGGTGGGAACTTTTTGGATGGCATGTTTCTGGTGGAGAAGAGATACCTCGTCCTCGAGAGCAGGTGAGTAAGGGGCAGACCCGAGGCGACTGGTAGGAGGGAGCTCTATGAACTCTAGCAGGTAACTATAGTGAATGATGGCTAACACCCAGTTGTCTTTGGTGATGATGGACCAATCGCAGAAAAAGAGATGGCTGAGGCCATAGCCTTTGAAGCTGCACCAGCAATGTGGTGAGTGGCTATATGTTGTTGTTTAGCCAAAGTAGAAGCCTCAAGGTGTGTACTGAGGGCACTTGTCTTAGCGTCCTCAGGGGCAATCTGAAGAACTGGAAGGACCTTATTCCAGAGCTGTCTATGATAAGCTGCCATAGCGGACTGGTAGTTAGCGACTCACATCACAAAAGAGGTAAGAGAGTAAAGATGATACCCCAGGAAATCCAGCTTCCTACCTTCCATTAGTAGGGGTGACCACTGAACAGCCTCCAGCTTGTGACTGATTGGATTGAACTATGATAGAATTAGGTAACAGATGTTTTATAAGAAAGGCAGTGTCACTTCCATGTGCTCTGTAATGATTTTCTAACTATCTGGATATATGTAGGGAAGAAGATGGTTTGTCCCAGGACTCCTTTATGAAGTCTAACATAGCCAGAATGAAGGCAAGGCTTAACAGAGGGGATTTATCTTGGTTGATGTTGTTGAAGACAAAGTTCTGTTTGGGAGGGGTCAGCTGCTCGATGTCGAGCTCAAGCAACTTCGCAATCCTGATAATTAATTGGGAGTAAGAAGAAAAGTCCTCAGATGGAGAGGGGGGTGATTGTCAGCCACGTCAGAGTCATGATGTGAGGCTGACACTGAGGAGGTGTGGACATGTTTTTATAAATGGCACTCGGCATGTGGGGCATCTGGTTGTGATAACTGGTGTTTCAGGGAAGATTTTGATGGTACCGATGCAATGGGCTTGAATTGAGAATTTGTGCAATGCTGATGCCGAGGAGACGAGGGTGACACCAAGGAGTCAGAGGGAGAGGCATAGGCATAACACATTCTCTCAGGCCGTTCATAGTAGCAGGCATCATAATAAGGGTCGAAATCATCGTATCGGTATTGAAGTCCCCGTAGTAAGAGCCTCAATAGTCTGGCAGATGTTGATGTTGAGAGGGATGATGTATATAAATAATGTCCCCATGCGGAGGCTGTTTGTGTGACGGCGAGAGGTGGTGGCATTTCGCCGAACATTTATGCGGGGGAGACTGTCCCACCAAAGCTTCCAAGTTATATAATTTTATTACAGTTGCCCGCCTGATAGAAATAGGGCTAGAATGGGCTGCAGCCAGGCTGGAGAGAGCACCAGCCACCAAACAGCCATGACGCGGCGAGAGGCTCAGTATCAAAAACAGAGCCTGAGCTGGAGGCAATGGAATAGGGTTGTCAGCTTCCGACAAAGAGTCTGGATTGGGTAGTTCCCTAGACAACTCTTCAAGGATTGGTGAAGGAAGATACATTTGGTACGCAGGAAGCTCCTGTGGCTGGTTAGACTTAGCAAGGCATTTGGACTTCTTCTGCTTAGTTTGGCCCCTCTTTTTCTTAGGCAAAGGTTCCTGCGTCGACACTGAAGGTGACTTTGAGCTTGAGGCAGGTTTCAGGCCGGACAGAGGCTTTGACTTCGAAGACTTAAAAGTTAATTTTTGCTTAGGAGATGGTGTAGTGGGAGCCGATGCCGGATCTACAGACTCAGACCAAGGAACAGGTGTCAAGATAGGTTCCATGATCAAAGGGGATCTAGAGTTGGAGGGTTTCAGGGATTTCTCTCGGAGAAAAGACAAAAGGTCCTGTAAACAGTTTAAGAGCAGGATTGGTCAGTCTCTTGCACTCCAGGCAGGAGTGGGTTGGTGCTGCTCCCCCAAATAAAAAAAGGCAGCGATCGTGGCCATCAGCCAGGGGGACCTTGTTGGCACACAAGCTAAAACATTTAAACGGGCCCAGAGGGGCCATAAAAAGGGCGAAATGTCAAGGTAGGAGAATCAAAATAAGGAGTAAGAAAACATCGAAGATCGCAAGAAAAAGGCTAAAAGATCTGAAGATGGCAAGTGTAAAAAACACTCCAGTCGTCGGAGGAATCTGAACTCAGTGGTGACTAAAAGGAACTGAGGGACTGTGGACAGGCAGAGTATGCGCTCCACGGGGGAACGTCCCACTAATCACATTTTTAAGCTCTAGAAAGTTCCAAAGAGTCCTGCACAGGAGCAGATTAACCCATTAGTGTCCGTTCACAGAGGCCACAAAGAAGATTCAGGTATCTGGCAACGGGTTCTAGCTTACCGGTCTCATTCAAATACTAGTCTCTATACAAAGAAAGATTTCTCTCCCTATTCCCACCACCTTGAAGAAGCATTCAGTCACGCAATCCTCCCTGGAAGTCCGAAGTGGTATGACCTAGTTATAGGTTTACTGCTTCAGCAAGAAAGAGGTCTAGTGAGAAATTATGCATCCCCCACTACAGGAGGTTAGCTCTTTCTTGCTAAAAGACAAAAGCAGCTAGAACCATTCTGACAGGATACCTGAATAAATGAAGTGCAGAATGTCTGACAAACAAGAACAGAAGGAAGAGTCTTTAACAATGACTCTTACTGGTGAAGTGCATGATGAGCCAGGATTTAAAATGGGGAACGCAGCTTCCTGGTCTGCTCTAAAAAGGGTCTGAGCAGTCCTAATGATAGAGGAATCCTGAATGTCAGCTGGGCTCTTCACATTAAAGAGTAACATGAAGACATGGCTAACAGAGCACAAAACAATCCTGTGAGCTTCTGCTACCTCCTTCAAGTCTTCAGAGTAAAATATCACATCCACACATTGGCAGCAGAACAGCAGGTTACGTAAATCGGAGTCGTAATGAGAGGCTTCACCTTTTAAGATTGGCATTTTTTCTAAAAAAAAAAAGGTGAGATATTAGAAAAGCAATCATGAATAAACCGCTTGTAAGTCCAAACTTGCATTAGGCAAAAGACAAACAAAAGCATTTTTATTCCAAGGGCCTGGATTAAATGAGGACATAATAACATATCCTTGAATGCCCTTACTAATTTTTTTTCTTTGCTACACTTTATTCATGGAAAGTGCAAAGTTCTACACCTGGGGGGGGAATCAAATGCACAATTATAAGATGGGGGATATTTAGCTCTAGGATCTTAGAATAGTTGTAGATCACAAGCTGAATATAAGACAACTCTACGATGTAGTTGCAAAAAAAAAAAAAAGGCAAATTCTATTTTACTACGATGTAGTTGCAAAAAAAAGGCAAATTCTATTTCAGACTGCATTAGCAGAAGCAGTCTCCAAATCTCGTGAAGTACTCGTTCCCCTCTATTTGGCACTGATTAGACCTCATCTTGAGTACTTTAAGAAGAATGCCAGCAAACCGGACCAGAGTTTGGAGCCAATTATCTTGGGAGGTGGTGAGTGCTCCAACGTGTGAGGCACTCAAGAGAAAATGGGACAATCATCTCTCACACTTTGATTTGGATTCCTGTATTAAGCTGGGGTTGGACTCATGGCCTTACAGGCCCTTTCCAATTCCACTATTCTATGATTCTATCTTTCTATGAAAACAAGCCTATTTTATCTAACTATATTTAGTAAATGTTTTTACTATTTTTATTAATATTCTAATTTGTTTTTTAATGTATTTAGCGGAGAAATACTTCAGTTTCATCAGAATTTTGTTTTACAGCCAATGAATTGTGAAAATAGAAAGCTACACACTCATAACTGTTGATCTTTCTGACAGAGGCTAGATGCAATACTGAATATAAAAAATTCTGGTTGTGGGAAACTCCTCTTTCCTTTTCTCCTCAGAGATTGGGAAGGGAAGGCATTTTCACTCTCACAAACTCAATTTAAATAAGAAAAAACATCAGTAGCATCACACTGCTGTTTTCTACAGAAAATGGCAGAAAGAGAAAAAGGCTAAATCCTCTTTTTTCTTAAAGAGAAAAGAAGTAAGGCAAAGGGTAAAGGTTCCCCTTGACAATTAAGACCAGTCATGTACGACTCTAGGGGCTGGTACTCATTCCCATTTGTAAAGCTGAAGAACCAACATTTGTCTGTAGAATCTTTCTGTGGCCACATGGTTGGCATAACTAGACACAGGACACTGTTACCTTCCCACCGAGGTGGTACCTATTCATCTACTTGCATTTGCATGCTTTTGAACTGTGAGGCTGAAAGGAGCTGGGACAAGCAATGGGAGCTCATTCTGTCGCATGGATTTGAACTGCCAATCTTTCACTCGATAGCCCAGTGGTTTAACCTGCAGCACACCATCTGCATCCCATAGAAAAGAAGAGGTGGCTTCTTTTTCTTAATTTTCTTGTTTTTGGCAGGAGGCACCAGAAAGGCACGACTGGCAGTTTTCACAAATGCTTAGCTTTTGGCAGAAATACTCTCCCTACTCATCCATTTAAGACAGCAGCCTAAGAGTGAAGGAAATTGCTGTCCAAAAACACCTGAAGATCACTGCAGATGTAGAAGAAAGGAAAGGTAGCTTCTTGTCATTCTCCTAGAATTTCTGAGTAGGTGATGGCCACTGCGTAAAGTTTTGATCACTCCCGGTTTTAATTATCAGTCTCCATCATTCAGTGAAGGAGTATCACTATTCATTTCTCATGCATCAAAGGGCTCCATATTCTAGTTTTGGAAGAAATTTAGATAAGAAATTATTATCTAAAATTTTCAATGTCTCATTTATTTAGTTCATCTTTATGCTCAGGTCTTCATCTCAGCAACAAAATCTAGAAGCAATTTTTTTCTAACTTCTCCTGGTAATTTATGTAACTTAGGTAACAGTGGTGCAAAATGTGTAATTTAAGAGATACAGTTTTAAATCATCTGAAGAATAATCAATAGACACACACTAACTTGCATTATACCTGGCTGATCAAGTTGAGGTGGCTTAACTCCATGACACTTATGGCTTTTTTTCCTTTTCTTCATTTTTTCAGATTTCTGATTCAAGCTCTGTATCATAAAATACTCCAACTAAAATAAAACAAAATAAATATTAAATATGGCAAATAAACTTGTAAAAGTACCTCCTCTACCACTGTCACTTAAAAATTGTGGTTACCAAATTCTGTGTTTTGACACATGATGATTTTATCTACTTGTACAGCCTCAATAACAACTACAATAAGAACACACAGAGAAAAAGAGCAATGTGTATTTTACAGAGAGATTGTTCTGGTCCATCAGACTCCATCTCTGTATGCAAAACAGACTACTGCTCCTAATGTGCACACGCCTTCATGAGAACTGAACTCTGTAATTACATAAGCAAGCTTTGCACTCTTGCATATAGGCTGCTTAAATCACCCTGAAATCAACTGACACTAACTAGCCTCAGAGTACTGTATCTTTGATATCAACAACTGCAGATAACAATACAGTATTCAAATAATGAATACTGTACAGTACTGTATATAGCTTATCATGCCATCAGTCATGTTTAGATCCATTATAAGGCAGTCAGATAAGGTAGCAAGTCCCTCATACATGGAACAATTTGTAGTCAGTTAACAACATTGGCCTTGAGTGAGTGCTTTCCTCCTTAAATAGCCTCTGCCTTAGGGAAGACCAGGTGAGGATCTGACACTGGAAACTGAATGCACACTGAGGTAAATGGTCATTTTTGCCATTTCTTCTCTCTGCTCCCAACACCTGCTCTGACATGCGTGCACACAATTTTCTCACAGAGGCTTCTGGAACTAACTTCCTTGTCAAGAAGAGGAAGCAGGCAGCCACACTGTCATCTTCACTTTGGCCTTGTTGCAACTCTTACCAGCCGCTCTCATAAAGACATCTGGAGGCAACTCTTCCGGGAGGAGAAACAGCACTCAGAGTGGCGGGTTTCTTCTTGACCCCTTGAGCTTACCTGATATGGTAGAAACAACAAGATGCTGGCAGATTCCAGCAGAGCCTCAGAGAACTGAAGTCATCAAATTCTAGTTAGAATCATTTGCAAGGAAGTTAAACCACCAGGTGATTTTTCAGTTACTTGCCAAGACTAGTTTCTGAACTGTGCAGCCTATTTCCACCTCAGTTGTTTCTTCTGAGATCTTTATAACTAGGGCGAGGCTTTCTATGACATTTCACATTTTCTCTGCAACCTATATTTGAACCCATCAGCATGTTCAAACATGTTTTTTTGAGTAATCTCGCCTTTCTCATCAGATTATTCATAAACATGTTCAAGCCCACTTGTAAACTCAAACATAGGTTGCAGGGGAGGGGGAATAAATCCTCCTCCTATTTATAATATTAAGAACTGGTGCCTTAATTTGCTTGTTTTCCTTTTCTTTTCTTTTCCTTTCTCATTTTCCTAACAAGTGGGATCTTTTTTTTTACAATAAACCTGAGGATACCCTTTTTAAAAAAAGCTCTGTATTCATTTCTGGGAGTATTTCCACCTAAACAGCAGAGTCTTTCTTTCTTAATGATATCAGAGTGTCGTACAACTTAAAATTATAGACATATATGAAATACAGGTAAAATTAAAAACAAATTAAAATGTTAAGATAACTTGAATATTTTTGAACAAAAGTGAGCTACTTCACTAATGCTATCTCAGCCATTTGCTAGATCTTCTTTTGTACAGTTGGTGGGGCATAAATTGCATGCACTAAGTGCTGCACTGATTGAATTTCTCCAGTCACAGAAAATTTGCCCTATATCCAAGTACAGTAGCTGCATTTTGCTTGAATATTCTTTGATCTTCCTGCTTCACTTGGAAGTATATTAAGGGACTTCCAGATGGTACACTTAAGTCTTGTCCTGGTGGGAGACACTCTTCATCATTCATTTATTCGGCAAGGTGTGTTGTTTTAAACCTCCATAGGTTTAATAGTTAGAACTTGAGATATGTGCAGAAAACTTTTCTGTGATTTTAGCTATTGTCTCCCTTTGTGTGTGTGTGTGTGGGGGGTGTCCATGAAGTGGATGGGCTTGGTGCTGGATTCTTATCTCATTCATTATTTGCTAGCACCTCTTGATGTACTTCTGGTGGGGCAATGCCAGCCAAATGATAAGACTTTTTCAATGGCAGTAGGTTTCAGGCAGCCAGCAATAATTCTGCTTAATTAATTACGAGATACAGTCATTTCTTCTACATGTGCTGATTTATACCATATGGCAGTTGTTCCCTAACTTTTTCAATGTGTGGCTTCCTTGAGCTGCAGCAGAGCAGGAGGAACTGCGAGGAGCAGACATGAAGGAGTGCAAAGAAGCCATAGCCGGAAAAGCGGCAGCATCAGCTTGAAGAGACACAGAGAAGATTCCACAGTGCCCTAGCTGGATTTGGCAGTGCCCCAGGGCACTGCAAGTCATCACAGCACACACTTTGGGAACCTCTGCCATATGGCACTAGCACATTCTGCTGTAGAGTAGCACAGGGACAAAGCTCTTATTGTTTATGGGTATGGACCCCAGTCTGACTCAGCCAGTTTCCTAAGTATGTAATTTCTGGTGGCAAATTTCTTTTTGGTGTTTACACATTTTTTGTAGGTCACAGTTCAATCTAGATTGACATCCGAAGACTTTGGTGTAGGGCAATGTTCCAAAATCTTTCCTTCCCAACTATCCTGGAACTTCCTCTCTGCATCTCTGTTCTTTAAGTGGAAGCACAGTCCCGTGTTTAAAGAGTTTGGTTTCAACTGGCTTTTTATGATATAAGGAAAGATCTTCTGATGAAGATCTTCTTTAAATAAACAAAGAATCACAATTTCATCCGTTATGATTATTACATCTAAAGCCTTCTAGGTCAGCGGTCACCAACCTTTTTGGGACCACAGACTGGTTGGAGGAAGCAAGCTCCATGCGCGGGCAGAGCTGGGGGCACGCACCTGCAGGCACAATACGCCCCTGGTGCAAGCACGACACGCCCCTGTGCGAGCGTGACACACCCACTGCAGGTGCAACGCCCACCACGCAAGCATGACACGCCCCCCGCGCATGCATACGGGGGGGTGGAGATCCGTATCCACGGCCCAGTTCCAGCAAGCCCACAGACTGGCACCAGGCCGCGGACCAGGGGTTGATGACCCCTGTTTTAGGTAAAAGGTTACATGATTTTTTAATTACCAGGTAGAACACAAGTTCTGTTAAAAGGGCAGCCAAAAACAGTCAAACCCTGCTGAGCCAGTAGATTGGGATATCTTGTCTCAGGTTTTCCTCTGCTACAGCCAGGAAGAACGGCTACTATCAGAAGATGGTTCTGGGAATGAAAGAGCCAAAGGAAGAGGAGACACTTCTGGGCAAAGAACAGCCTTACTGAGTTGATGGAATGAACAATATCTTCTTCTCCCCGTACCCACGAGGTAGAATGGAAACAGGTACAAAGGCTTTATATTTCTTCCTAGAATTCTATATATATAATTCTTCCCATCTGTCTTCCTGCCATAGCCTAAGTCTTATGCCATAGTTCATCACACACATATTAAAAAGCATAACTGCTATATAGCATGAAGCTAAGTAATTATTAAGACTCAGATGTGGGATAAAAGCCAAAGTATTAGTGAACTAATCCTAGAGCAAAGTCAGGAACAATTAGGCCACAAGATGTTTAAGAGAAAATGGAACATAACATAGGCATACAAGAAAATAAAAATGGAAAACTAGCATGGTAGCTTAATCTGATTACTTATGGAAAAATTAAGTAGGGCAAGTTTAAAGGAAAGTTTACCATTACATTTCAAACAAGTATAGAGTCTCGTGGTGCAGTGGTTAAACCGCTGTACTGCAGCCAAAACTGTGCTCACGACCTGTGGTTCAATCCCAGGTAGCTGACTCAAGGTTGACTCAGCCTTCTATCCTTCCGAGGTCGGTGAAATGAGTACCCAGCTTGCTGGGGAGGCAATGTGTAGCCTGCATAATTAATTTGTAAACTGCCCAGAGAGTGCTTGAAGCACTATGGGGCGGTATATAAGCAGCACGCTTTGTTTTGCTTTATAGGGGCATTACTTTTGGGCCAGAGAACAAAGACTGCTCAATTTTAGTGTTGTGCTGCCTCAACACTGGCAAAGGACAAAGCAGAGGTGCATAACCTATGTCCCCAAGACCTTAATTGCCGCCCCCCCATGAGTGCCCTGATTCTTCCCAAGTGCTATCAAAATTCTTCCTTCTGAAATCCTCAGACAGCTTGTAATTTTCACACTAGTGTTACTAGCAAGGAAAGAGAAATTTCTATGGGGACTGTTGAGGGATCTCAG